GGGAAGGGGAACAGACAAGTTGCTGTCCTTTTGTTCTTCAGTCTAGTTGTGGAGGACGTTGCTTCACTGGCCCATGTTGGCACCATCATTGCGCTCTTCCCGGGCGAGGCAGATCAGTCGCTGGTTTCTGGACAGCCTCTAACAGCGGCTGCTGGCCGCTCATGCTGGCTGCTGGCTATACATGGTAGCCTATGGCAACCCACTGCAGCAGGGGCTGCAGCCTACGCAGTTGCTGGCGACTCAGGGCAGCCCAGCTCCAGCTTGAGCTGTTATTCAGCATCTTAGCTGTAGAGGGCAGTGTCACTGGCCCTCATATCTGGGATCTGACCCGGGGCCCTCTGGCATCCCAAGCTAACTCTTAACCAATGTGCCACTCGGCCGGCCCTGTGTCCAGTAATCTTGATTGTTGGTCCTTGCTTTTTATCACTTTGAATATCCCGTGCCAATCCCTACTGGTTTGCAAAGTTTCTGTTGAGAAGACAGTCTTACTGAAGCTCTTTTGTAGGTAATTAATTATTTTTCTCTTGTTGCTTTTAAAGTTCTCTCTTTGTCTTTCACATTTTGGCATTTTAATTATGATGTGTCTTTGTGTTGGCTTTTTTGGGTTTATCTTGTTTGGGACTCTGCTTCATGGGCTTGTTTATCTGTTTCCATCACCAGGCTAGGGAAGTTTTCCAAGGTTATTTCTTTTCATTTTTGTTTTTGTTTTATTAAACAGTTTTTTTTAACTTTATTGGGGAACTGTGTGTTTTTTCCAGGACCCATCAGCTCCAAGTCAAGCTGTCGTTCTCAATTTAGTTGTGGAGGGCACAGCTCAGCTCCAAGTCCACTTGCTGTTTTCACTGTAGTAGTTGGGGGCACAGCCCACCATCCCATGTGGGAATCGAACCGGCAACTTTGTTGTTCAGAGCCACACGCTCTAACCAACTAAGCCACCCAGCCACCCATGTTTCTTCAATTAGGTTTTCAATTCCTTGCTTTCTCCTCTTTTGGTACCCCTATGATGTGAATATTAGTATGCTTGATAGACTCCCAGAGGCCCCTTAAACTCTCCTCATCTTTTGGGATTCATTTCGCTGTTCTGATTGAGTGTTTTCTACTACCTTATTTTTATTTTTTTTATTATTATTAGTTTCAGGTGTATACCTTATCTTCTAAATTGCTGATTCGATTCTCTGCTTCATCTAATCTAATGATGATTTCCTCTAATGTCTTTTTTTATGTAGATTTGACAGGTGTTAATCATTTAAAAAAAGTTTTTTTAAAGATTTTATTGGAGAATTGGGGGAGGGAACAGCGTTGGGGAATCGGGGAAGTGGAACAGACAAGTTGCTGTCCTTTTGTTCTTCAGTCTAGTTGTGGAGGACGTTGCTTCACTGGCCCATGTTGGTATTGTGATCATTGNGTAGGCTGCAGCAGAGCTGCAGTAGGCTGCTGTAAGCTACCGTGAGTGGCACGTGAGCTGCCAAGAGCCACCATGAGTGGCAGTCCAGGGGCCTGCAACCGATCTGCCTCACCCAGGAAGAGCGCAATGATAATACAAACATGGGCCAGTGAAGCAACATCCTCCACAACTAGACTGAAGAACAAAAGGACAGCAACTTGTCTGTTCCCCTTTCCTGATTCCCCAACGCTGTACCCCTCCCCCAATTCCCCAATAAAATTTTTTTAAAAATAAATAAAAACTAGTGGATGATTAGGAAAGCTAAAAATATCAAGAGTTTTTATGACTTAAGCACTGATGGTCTAGAACACAATATAATCAAATAAATTTTGGGGGAAAGGGTGGTCCGTTTTAGAGGAATTCAGACTGGTGATGCTTAGCTTTATTACTTCTGAAATTTAAGAGAGATCTTAATGGCAGGATCATATTTTAGTTTTAAATGATAATGGATTCCTATATGCTATTTTGATGAGAGATATTCAGTTCCAGTAGGAGAATTTGTAGTTGTTAAGGTTTAATCTACTTCGCTAAACCTAATTGAGGTAAATATTATGGAAGTAGGTAGAATGAAAATAAACTGTTATCTCCCTGCCCTTTCTTGGCCCTTTTAATCCATTGCAGTCCTAAAATTTTCATCATACTTGATTATTACTAACAGGATTAGAGATATTAATTGATTTCCTGTCAGTGGGATTATTGTGTGGACATACTAATTAAAATGTTTCAAGAGAAGAGGACTTTAAGGCTTTGTTAACTTTCTTGGTAACCATTATATATATTTTTTTTTTTTTTAAGATTTTAATAAAATATAGCTAACATACAATATTATATTAGTTTTAGGTACACACCGTAGTTATTCAACATTTATATACCTAAAGAAGTGACATAAGTCCGGCAACCATCTGACTGACACCATACAATGCTATCACAATATCATTGACTATATCCCCTACAATGTACATTACAGCCACATGACTTCTTTGTTTTATGCCTGTATATTTGAACTTCTTATTTCTTTTCACCTTTTTCTCCCTTTTAAAAAATTTTTCAATTACAGTTGATATTCAGTATTATATTAGTTTCAGGTGTACAGCATAGTGGTTAGTCATTTATTTGTATAATTTCAGAAGTTATCCCCCTGACTAGTCTAGGAACTATACATAGTTATTACTATATCATTGATTGTATTCCCTGTGCTTTACTTTACATCCCCATGATGATTTTGTAACTACAAATTTGTACTTCTGAATCTCTTCACCTTTTTCACCCTACTCCCAACCCCCTCCCACCTACCACCCCAACAAATCTAGTACCCATCTGACACCATACATAGTTATTACAATATTATTGACTACCGTATTTTCCCATGTATATGACACACCTTAATTTGGGGCCCAAAATTTGGAAAAAAAGTATTACATAAAGTTATTGAACTCAAGTTTTACTCATCATAAAATTCATACAACTCCATCACTGTCAAAATTCCCAACCTTTAGCTTGTCCTATTCTGTGTCTGATGACGAATCACTGTCTTCATATATTGCCTCATCCTCAGTTCCATCTATGGCATTTAAAATCTACAACCACTGTATAAGAAGCACCCAGTTTTTAGACCCCAAGTTTTTTTAAAGAGGGTGCGTCTTATACATGGGGAAATATGGTATATTCCTTATGCTATACCCTGCATCCCCTTGACTACTTTGTAACAACCAATTTGTACTTCTGAATTCCTTCCCCCTTTTCACCCATCCCCCAACACCCCTCCCATGTGGCAACTATCAAAATGTTCTCTATCTGAGCTTTTTGTTTTGTTTGTTTTGTTCTTTAGATTCCACATATAAGTGAAATCACATTGCATCTGTCTTTCTCTGTCTGACACACTCCACTCAGCACAATACCCTCCAGGTCCATCCATGCCACTGCAGATGGCAAGAACCNACAACTTTAATGTCTGCTCTGTTCAGCATTAGTAGCAGTTCCTGGAACATAGAAAATATTCAACAAGCTCTTGTTCATTTACTTTTTAAAATCTCCCTCTGTAATATTAAATATTTTTGCTTTCCCGGTTTTTAATTATTTTGATTTGAAACACTTTGGCGGCAGCATGAGGGACTAAGTTACTTCCTATCAATCACGTGGCTACGTCCAATTTTTCTACGATATTACACGAAGGAAATGGATTTCAAAAGCTTCTGAGTCTCGGGTAAAAACAATTCCGTTGTTATCTACCTTAAGCCTTCTTGGATTTCAAAAAGCCGAAAAGCTTCACAACTGCGCACGCGCGCGTTTGAAGAGCCAGGCGACATCTCTACGTAAATGAAAGGGGAGAGTCATCATCCTTAGCGGACCAATGAAAAACTTCCAGATTATCCTTTTTCGATTGGCTAACGGGGACCAATTAGACGTGAACTGTCTTTTAGCAGGCGTCTCGCAGTAGAGCGCCATGACGTAATGTGAGGGGTCGCCCGGTAGGGCTGAGCTAGACCAATGAGGAGAGAATAGGGGTTTTCCTGCTCTGACGCCCAACCGTGAGACCCAGCCCCAGGAAAGTTTCGCTTCGGGGAGGGAGAGGAGCGAACATGGCAGCGCGGTGGTGTTTTTTGTGTGTCTCTGCAACTATGGCGGTGGCGCTGCTGCTCGTTTATGGGGTTCCCTCCGCCTCTGCTCAAAGAAAGAAGGAGGTGAGGACGCTGTTTCCAGCAACGTGGGCTTTTCCCAATGAGTGGGGCTTGAGAGGGTCTGTTCTCTCCTTCCCGACCCTTTTTCTCGGCCGGTTATGTGTCTTTGGTGGCTCCAATTCCGCCGTTTTTGGAGTTGTGGGGTTTACGAGAGAAGAAACTAACTTCTTGGGATGTAGAGTCTGAGAGTGAGCTCGGGTAGGGGACAACGTGGCTTCTGTAGGCCTCTGCATATACGAGTTTCTCGACACTTTTAGTATGGGGCCCCATCAGGTGGTGGGGGAAGTACGACTTGAGGTCCAGCGTGTAGAATATCTGAGTCTTTTCACTGTCAGTAGAAGTAACTCCCTTATAGGGCATTTAAGAGCATTTTAATGCATTTTCACTTCAGAAATGTGAGAAGTAAACTGAAGAGTGAAGCTATGGCAGGTTTATTACATTGTCCAAATAATTGATTCAAGGCAATTTACCACACTGGAAGCTCTTAAACCATTTTCAATAATTTACCAAATATAATGCGTGCCAAGCACTGTTCTAGGAGCTTGGTAGTTATAAGTGAACAAAACTAAAACCCCTCCTTGTGGAATTTACTGACTTTGGCAAGTGGAGGAGATACAGTATTCTTTATTCACCATTAAGTAATCCATACAGAGGAATTTTAACACTGTTTTGAAACACTGTGACTTCGAGCCATATGCTTAGAGCTTTAAAGATTACTAGCAATTATTTATATTCTCTGGTTTTGTCAATGAGGAAAACCGAGTCCTCAGCTTACCCAGTTAACTGTTGCAGAACATGGACTAAAACCCTAGGTCAGTCAGTCTTAACGCTATTTCTTGTACAGTTTTGTGCTCCCTTTAGTAGTTAGTACCTGAACATGGACTTTTAAAATACCATTTAAACATCTCAGATGTTTGTCAACTTGAATTGAATTTAAAAAGAACCCATCTTCTCTGTTTCTGAATATTTTAATTATCCCATAAGAAGGAAAATAAGCTAGTAAATTAAAGCGAATTACTTTTTAGGTTGGCAAAATAAAAAATGTACAAATTTTAAAGGTATGGTGAAGTGAGCAGGTTCATACACTGGAACTCGAAATTGACGTGCTTTTTTAGGAGGGTTCTAAGCCATTTTTACGCAGAAAACAAGATGTAAAGCAATACACAGTTTTATATTCTAGAGTCCTTTATGTTTTAAAATGCTATGTGTATATATATATATATATATGCATATATTGATAGATAGGTAGATAGACATAGATATATGTATGTATAGTAAAACCTTTGTAAGGATACGCAACAATCTTTGGGTAGTTGGGATTGTTCATTAGGGAAGCACTGTCACTTTTTACCTTATATACTGGTATTGTCTGAATTTCTACAATGACCGCTTTTTTAAATAAAGTGAAGATTTTAAAAAAACAGTACTTCTACTAGTTAAGTTGTATTTATTCATTTACTCTCTCACAGAAGAGCCTAGCAGGGGATAGATACATTATTTTAAAAAGGAATCAGCAGTAAATTATATACTTTAAAATAGTTAACAGGTGGATTTTATATTATGTGTATTTTATCTCAAAAAAATTTTTAAAAAGGAATCAGATTCTAACTCCCTTTCCATCATGCCCACTGTTCACACCCTTATTCCTCTCCCAAATCTATAGCAATAACTGCCTACCTGGTCATCCTTGAACCCATCCTTCATAGTGTTGCCAGAGATGAAAATGAAAATCTGAAGCATGAAAATCTGAAAACCTTTTCACCTACTTTGCAAAATATAAAAGGGTTTCTATAGTGGTTTGTTTCTTCCAGCCTCATCTCAGTCCCAGCTCCTCCCTGTACTAGTCATACTAAATTACCTGTCTTCCTTGATCTTCTATACTCTTCTGTACTTGCTGGAATTCTGCTGGAGTATCTCCCTTCTCTCTCACTTGAAGAGTAGGAACTCTCTTCAAGTCTTAACTCAAACATTACCTTTTTCCTCAACTGAACTTTTCTGGTTCCCCCAGGTGACTTTGAGATGAAGTTAGCACATTGTATTGTCATTGTTTATATGCCAGTCTTTGCTACTAGACTTTAAACATCATGAATACAGACCCTTTTAAGTTAATTTTTCTTTCCCTCAAACACAGCAGTGTCTGTCCAAAAGGTCCTCAGTAAACATCGAATTAATTACTTAACTGACTCTTGAATCTGTTCTTTCATTTGAAGGTTTGTTTAGGTTTCACAACCTAAAATTGGATTTTCTCATCAATAAACAAAGAATTAATATAGTCTGGTAAAGATGTTTTAGTTTTTACCTCTTTCCCCTCTGAGGATGTTTTAGGCTGTTTAAAAAATGGTTAAAGTGATACTATTTAGAGAATGTTTAAAGATATAGGTGTTCTTTTGCGAAGCATTTAGTTTTGGGGTTTTTTGTCAATTTTTTAAAACATTCTTTAAAAAAATCTCAGGTGTATCCACCATAGTGGATTTGGCTTTAAATAGAGGGTAATGTCTGATCTTATAATCTAAGTATTCTGTTTAAAAATACACCTCTCCTAAATGAATATAGTTTAAAATCACTCAAGTTCCTCATAGTTGTCAGTTGTTAAATGGAATGCTACCCTACTTATCTGATTATTTACACTTGTAACAGTGTTTTCACTGGAAATTTGACTTATACTCTTCATATTTATTTAATGCCTTCTACATGTCAGGCACTGTGGTTTACATACATTATCTATAACCCTCCCAGTAACCCTTGCAGAGTAAGTATCCCTCCCTTTGAAAGATGAGGGAACTGACGCTGTGCAAGAGAGAGGCTGGGGGCTTATCCAAAGCACAGCTCTAGAGGCTGAGCTGGGATTCCATCGCTGGTCTGACTCCAAAGCCTCTGCTTTCTGTAAGGCACAAAGACTTGTTTTATTTTATGGTAAATTATTTCTTCCCTGTGGTAGAAGGGCAGTTGCTTGTCCTTGCATCTGGTGTTGCTTTAGGGAGGAAACATGATAAAAATGAAAAAGCATGGTGTTTGATAAAATTATCCATATTTCCTTTTTTTCTATTAAAATTTATTGAGGTGACAATGGTTAGTAAAATTACGTAGGTTTCGAGTGTATGTACAGTGCTGTAATGCATCATTTCTATATCAATTATATATATATATGCATGCACATATATAGATATATGTATATATCCATAATTCTTTATCTACTTCTGGGACTCTAATAGAAACATAGTATGAAATATGGAAAAGAGTTGAATTCACAAAGCATACTGAAGCATAATAAAAATGTTCATAATAATGGTTGCATAGTTTTTTTCCCCTTTTCTCAGTTTTCCAAAAAAATTTATAAAATTTTAAAGAGCACTTACCAAGTGATCTTTAGGAAGTTACTCTGAGTCTCGTTTCCCTTTATCACTTGAATTGGAAAATGCCTATTTATTTGAATATTATGAAAATTAAATGAGATGAAGGCTGTAAAGTGCCCAATGCAGTACCTGGCATGTAGAAGACATTAAATGAAGATTAGAAAGTAAAATGTGTTCCTTTGCGGTAGTAAAATGTTTTCTCAATTGATCTTTTAATAGTTTTATGAGGATTATTCAGAAAATAGAATTACCTGCACATTTGACAAGGCAGGGTATTGGAAAGTTCTACATTCTCTGATATTATTTTGAGAACAGATACATGAAAGTGTCACACATGCAAAACCCCTGCAATTCTTTAGAAAATACCTTATTACTAAAAACCAAAGGCTTAGTAACAGCTGCAAAACAAACAAATTGAGACACCCCCCAAAAAATAAAACATCAAGGAGAAGGAACAATGATATATTTTAGCCCTGTCCAGGAAGTAAGTGAACTGAGAATGGAGCAAATGGCATTTAAAGATTAAAAATGCCCTTTTCTCTGCTCACTGTCTGTCTCCTTCAGTCATTATCTGCCAATTATGTTTCCAGATCTTTTCAGTCTCACTCTTAATTTAAGAGTGGAGTTGGAAATTTATTGCTTAACCGGGAAATTTATTTTACTAACATCTAAAGACTAGTGAATGGCCTGGCCGAGTGGCGCATTGGTTAAGAGTTGGCTTGGGACGCCAGCTCTGAGCAGCAGTGCCCTGGTTTGGATCCCACGTAGGAGGGCCAGTGACACTGCGCCCTCTACAGCTAAGATGGTGAACAACAGCTCCACCTGGAGCTGGGCT